AATAAAACTTTGGGAATCAAATAGCAGACTTAAAGGGATAGAGAGGATGAGGAGTGCTCTTTTAGATAGAGTGACCAGGGTAGGCCTTTCGATGTGTGCCATTCATACAGAAATCTAAATGCATATAAACTGCAGGAGAACACAGCATTTTGTTTCATTCACTACAATATTCCCAGTGAATAGGTGTGTATCTGACATATAATAGGTGGATTAATAAATACTTATGGAAGGAATAAATATGCATATCCCTCTCCTAGCACTTAAACACTGCATTTACTTCTCTGGCTTCCAAACTGGACTTTTCATTGACAGGGAATGAGTCTTCTTCTCCTCCATCCCTAGTATCTAACATAGCGTCTGGCTGAGAGTAAGCATGGGCATGTTTGTGAAATAAAGGAAGAAGTAGGAATTATGATGAACGAGTCTGTCATAAAATATGTTAGGGACATCCTGTAAACTTGAGCCAAAACATGCACTGCTTGAGAAGTTCATATGTGCTTTTAAGAATCATGTGAATTCATTTTAACTAGTAAATTAGATAGATAACGAGACATAGTAGTATCTAAATTTGTTAGTGATTTGTTCAGAAAACTAGTTTCTTTCAAATCAAGCATTGGCACGTCTAAAAATCAAAGAAGTAATAGAGTTTCCTCAGTCCCTTTCCTCCTACTTTGACCTGTCTTGCTGGCTTAGGCTGTTTAAAGTATACTTGAATACACTGCAAGGTACTACAGACCAATAGCTAGAGGAATCTTGCAGACTTTTTCAGAAAGATAGATTTGGGTACTAAGCAAAAACAGACTACCTGAACTATAACACTGGGCATTTCAGCACTTCTGTTTGAAAATAAATGAGCATTTCTGAACCAGACACAGTAATGATGACAAGCGATGAAACCCAACACAAAAGAGGTCACTGACAGCCCATAGCCACGCAGCCCCAGTGGCAGCTCTGTGCCTCTTGTACGCTCTGTGCAGATATATTCACCTTCCTTTCTCAAAAAGTACTTGGAAAACTGTATAGAAGTTAAACTCCAGCCATATTTCTTACTGGCCATCTAAGTAAAATGGAAAAATCATGATGTCAAAGATCAGAAATGGAAATCTCTTATTTTTCACTACTGCATGCCATTAACTTGCATTAAAAAGCTCTCTCAAGACTAGATCTAGAAAAAAATTTGACAGTGGCAAAAACTGTAAAACTATTTGCCCATGTCCCTCATGTGCTTTCCCTCTTAATGCTTCTCCTCACTCCCACTGCCACCAATGTCCTGGTGACTGAAGATCCAGAATTTGCCCTCTGCTGTCCTAGGCCTAGCACCTTAGTATCTTTAGCACCTGGAGGCCGTATGTCTTTTCCCAGCAAGATCCTGCTGAAATTTTTTATCTGAAAACCAGTAGGGTTAGACTCTCAATGCCCGTTAAGGTGAATATTAAAAGGCGAAAGTAGTGTTTCTAAATGGGATTTCAAGAATTATTGGTATCCCTGAGATTACCAGGTCAAAAAGTTGTTCATTGATCAAAGAAGTACTTGGACAAAACTGAATACTATATTGTCTACTTGGAAAGTCACAACACAAGTTGGAATGCTTAAAGGAGTTAAAAAATGAAAAAAATCAAAATAACTGTCAATTGGGGGATAGTTAAATGCACTCAAGAACAGTAATCAGCTGTTAAAAAAGGTGACATACAGTTCTACATACTATTCCGAAATGTCTCCTCGACATGTTGCTGAATAAAAACCAAGTCAAATTTCTAAACATGAGTAATATCCCATTTAAAAAACCCAAATCCTATGTGTGCATGTATGTTTTATATATAATACAATAAAATATATAAAAATTCCAAAAGGATGTATACCAAATTATTAAGAGTGACAGCATATTGGGAATAGGTTTGGGGGGGCTGAGGGAGACATGCATTTTTACTTTATAGCTTTAGTTATTATTTGAATTGTTTTATAGCCCCTTTATTACATTTATAATAAAAAAACAAGCACTATATTAAAAATATAGAAGTAAAATCCAGCAGTAAATACATCTGTTTAGCTTCAAGTGAGCACGTCCCAAACTCATACGATCAATGAACCCGTTGTGTGGAACACTCAGAAACAACTTGTGCAACAAATTTTGAAGTTACTGCACTCAAGGCTCTCCCCAGTCCTTGCCAGCATATGGGTTTTCACCTTCTGTGACCTTCTATAAATGTGTGAAGGAGGTAGAAGGAACCTCAGCAATGACCCGGGACAACCCCATCTCTTTTCAAACGACCAAAAATCATGAAAAGAGAAGGACGAGGTTAGCCCGAAGCTCTCAATCCTCATCTAGCTCCTTCTATATCTTTCCTGTAGTCACCAGATACCTAGATGGGCCGTGACCCTTGGATTTCATTAAAAAGTCATTAAATTAAAAAAAAATCATTAAAAATATCTCTGGCCCTCAAGGCGATTGTCAGGACCTATGAGTAAGCCCTGGCCTCAATGTTCTCCCTGCAGTTTCATGACCCCTCCCCCTTCCCAACGGCCTGCCTTGTTCTACAGCTTTTTAGGAGGAAGGAGGTGCTGTTCAAATGAAGGACCCTGGAAATAGCTGGCAGGAAACAGCAGGAGTCTTGAGGCAACTTGGGATCCCTAGTGAAGTGTAGATACATAGAAGCATGAACTTACTCATTTCCTCGAACAGCATGCCCCTGAGTTGGTCAGAACTGGGTTTGAACCTGCCCTCTTGATTCTGCCGTTTACTAGCTATCTAACATTGTCCAGTTCCTTACCTCCCGTGAACATCATCTCCCCATCTCTGAAACAGGGATAACAGCGTGTATGTCACACCTGTGGTGGACATTAACAAAGATGATGGCTGTTAAAGTTGCTAGCACAGGGCACAGTGTATGTAGTTAATCAAGAAAGCTTAATTCCCACCTTTTCCCTCACACAGCTGGCTGCTTACTAATGGTACCAACCCTGGGCAACAGGTGCAGGGGTCATGAATAAAATGGTACCTATGCTTGAAAAACTGATGACATGATTTGGGCACGACAGGTGTGATGGGTGCACCAACAGAGGTGAGTTCCAGTGTACCACCCACCTGAGCATCAGGACATCACTCTCAACTTGGAGGCCTGATACTGGAGCTGCCTCTCAGCGACCCCGTGGCCTCAAGGGGATTTACTGTAACGTTGGCTTGACTCACAAATTTGTTATTAAGGTTTCTGGAAAGAACTGCAGGGATCATGGCAGTTAAGCTGCTCAAGCAAAGTACGAGCCAGGAAGGACCAAGGAGCAAATAGGTGGAGAGGTAATGAGCACAGACTCTTAAGACACACTGCCTGTGTTCAAACCGTGTCTCTAGTGCTTCAGTGTGGGTCCGACATCTGTGCCTCGGATTTCTTATCGGTGATGTGGTAACACTCACAGGACCTACTCCGTAGGGTTTTTTTTTTTTTAATTTTTTGAATATTAAACAAGATAATGCTTTTGAAGCATTGAGCACAGTGTCTGGTATTCAGTAAAAGCACAGAGAAAAATACTTAGCATTGTTATTAAAACTATTTGGTCTATACATCCTAAGGCTGAGAGGCAATACTACTGCCAATTCAAAGGCACAAAAGATGTGGGCAGGATAGATGTCACCTTTGTTCGCCAAGTCACAGAAGAGGAAACAGAACTCCTCTTCGGGATCATATGAACTTGAGATTGAATCCCTGGTCTGGCTCTTACTAAAATGATCTTGGGTGAGCTTCTGAACCTTGATTTTCTATGAAAAACTGGAGGATAATGTCAATCTTGTGGATTGGCTGCTAGCATCACAAATGCAGTTACATAGAAATAAACCTGGCATGCTGCCTGGCACAATAAACCCTGCCTTCTTTCCTTCCTTACCCAAAGCTAGCAAATCAGACAATAGGATTAGCTACACAATAGTGTTTAAAAGTGTATTTAATGAAAAGCGCATTCTACATGGATTCAGAGGTGATAAAAAGTTAAAATGAGGCCTCTCGACTGGGGGCTTTTAAAGTTTCCTCCGCATTCATAGTCTATGATTCTCCAAGTGACTACCTATCCTATTTTTGTCACATATTTTGGCTCTGTTGCTTAATAAATATGATCTTTCGTAAGTTACTTGACTTTGTTTTCTCTTCTGTAAAGTGTGGATAAAAATTATATGCACTTCTCAGGGCTACTGTTAAAATTCGGTGAGATAAAGCACATAAAGGGTTTATACTTGTCTGGCAGATAGTTACTACTCAATTAATGCCAGCCACTGGTGTTGTCAGAGACACTATAAAGATTAAAAGAGACAATGTATGTAGAAAGCATGACACTTAGGTAGTGTTCAAACAATAATTGTTATTATCACTTCTACTACCACTATTGATTTTACATTATGAATGGCTATGGCCCAAGGAAACCAGTAAGTAATACATGCTGTCATCCCAGTAATGACACATCAAAATAGAGATACCAAGAGATATTAGGATCATGAATCACAGGTCCAACGGGGAATAAAAGCTTTCTGGAACAAATAGCTTCGTCCAGCCCAGACAGAGGACGGGCTCACCCATGGGGAACAGCAGGTGCTGGCTGCACTCTCTCCCTAGCCCTGGAGACCACACACATGGAGACAGCGTCCGGGGGCGATGATGGTTCATCTCACAGAGTGGTAATGTAATAATGCCTTGGCCTAGAACGATATCTTTTGGCCAAAATTTCAAAGCCATTCAGCGAGTGTCTTATTAATCTTTGGGATCCTACGGGGATCCAGGTGGATGGGCATTGTTATTATAACCTTATAAAGATGACAGCATACAATTTAGAGAAATTAAATACCTTGTCTTGGCTCCAATAGTCCATCAGTGCTGACAGAGGGCTAGAAACGCAGAGTGCAGCCCCTGAGGCCCAGGGCTCTAAGCCCTACCCTTGGAAACACTGTGAAGCAAGAGTGCATAGACAAGATGTGGCGCTTGCCTCCCTCCCTCTCTAGACCAGGTAACTGCAAGGCTCACCTGTCGCTGAATTGAACCTCTTCTCCGTTCCTGGCCCAGCTGATGGTAGGTCTGGGGTTACCGACAGCCTCACAGTGCAGAAGTACACTCAGCGTTCCACTGGCCAGGGCCACAGTCTGCCCGAGGTGGGTGACCACTTCGGAGGCGGAGAGCTGCTGGGCCGCTGAGATCTTCCGCAAGATGGTGGGCTTGCGGTGCGGCCGGCGAGAGCCGCTCCCAGCCTCCCCGGAGGAGGCGCTCCGCAGCGAGCTGCTGAAGCCAGATACGTGCTTATGAGGCGGGATGGCCACGGGGGCGATCCTCCGCTCAGATGGCTTGAGGAGCACGTCCTGGTGCTCAAGGTGGCTGCGGAAGATGTCCTGGGCGAGCTGGGCCACCAGGTGCTTGCTATAAACATCACGAAGCTCCTCGGGCTGCTGAGAGAGGTTCTGGAGAATGTCGTCCAGGCGCTGCTGCTCGGTCACAATGGTGAAGGGCAGGTGCAAGAGGGCCTGCTCAGCATTTTGCTCCTCCTCTGAGGATGTGTTCCTTTCTGTGGAGTCCTGGACCTCCCACGAGGCCAGGAGCTCTCCAGGCCAGCCTCCCTGCTCCAGCAGCCGAGAGACAAGGTCGTCATAGCGGCTCCCCGGGTCAGCAACAAGGCCGCGCTTCTCAGCCTTGCTGCCGTTAGAGAAGATTCCGTTCTGGTGTTTGTGGGTCTGCAAGGCCTCCTTGGGGTTGGCCTTCCTCACTGGGAGCGACTCTTCCTCGCTCCTCAAGCTCAAGGGCCGGGCCACCAGTTTCCGATTGCCTCCAATGAGCTTAATCACGAACTGCTCCCGGGCTGGTCCTGCAGAGCAGGTGTAGATGCCTGCATCAGAGGGCTTCAGCCGGTGGATCTTTAAGTAGCCAAAGGGGGCCACCGTCACGTGAGCGGAGCTGATGAGGTGCTGGCCGTCCTTCTCCCAGGTGATGAGGGGCTTGCGGAAGCGCCGCGTGGGGCACCGCAGCACCACTGCGGTCTTGGGGAGCAGGTATGCGAACCCCCCTACGACGAAGTGCAGCTTCCTCTGCCGGCGGGTCTGGATGTAGATCTTTCTTGCTGCCGCAATGTGTGGGCTGTGCTTTGTGGACGGCCGTCCTGGCCCTGAAATGTTGGGAAGGAGGACGATGACAAAAATGAGTGAGATGCAGTGACAAGAGAGAGGGGAAAAGAGAGGGGACAGAGAAGAGGAAGAGAGACGGAGGGCCAAAAGAGAGAAGAGGGGAAGAAAGTGCAAACCGAGTTTATTTTGGCCGTGGCCTTCCTTGACTGCCTTGTGTTTTACTGGAGGAACTGGTTACCAGCTGTGGACCTTCAAGCTGCCGCCACAATCAAAAACTGGAGAACTAATGAGGTGCAGAGGGCAACCTGCTCTCATCCTGCTGGGTCTTTCTGCCCCTAGAAGCTGAGATGCAGGGCTCTAGATGGAGAGGGATCCCAGGTGAAAGGCAGTCCCTCTCATTAAAAGGACTTAAGAAAAGGAAAGAAATCAGCATCATAAAAAGAGGCAGAGGACATAGGGAAGGAGAATGTCTCCCTCTCAATGTTTTCATCCTTTGGGTCCTGCAGAGCACCAGGGCCCTTATGTATACAGGAGAGGCAAGCCCAGAAGTGTTACAGCTCTAGAGATTAATATTAAAGAGAACAAATCTGTTTAGAGTAGTTTAAAACCCCAGAGTGGATAACATTAGCCTTCATTAGTAATATGCTGCCTCCAACTTCCAGATCTCTATATGCTAACACGTGAACTTTGCTTTACTTCCTGCAAACTGTTTTTCCAGGAGAGAAGAGAAGTCCACCTGGCCATGTGTAATTAAGATTCCTTTTCCACCTCCAGCTGAGCTCACCAGCCTGCTGCCCTCCAGGGCCCCACAATCTCCCACTGGTCTGGGTTTAGGGACGGTTACTGTGTGGCTGCTTCTGCTTCCACGTGGGGTCCCATCTCCCCATCTCCAGACCTCTGACATACTCACTTGCACAGGTTGCCAGCATACAGGGCCTGATGGATGATGAGAACGGCAGGGGAGGGCACAAGGAGGAATTGACAATAGCCGAGACCCCGGTTTTCAGCACCTTCCGGCAAATGGCACTTCGAGTCTGGGTGCCCTCCCCGCAGCTTGTGGAACACTGGTGGGGAAAGAAAAGCCACATGCATGTAAATGCAGGGAACTATGGGATAATGGGTTTTTGTATGAGTTCCTAAACTCACCACATTATGAGAAAAGCTG